ATTTTCACAATAGACATTTATACACCATTCGATAGAGAATTTCAAGGGCTACATTTTACACTATTTATATTTGATATACGAATTATTTGAATTTTCGGCCTAATGTCCGCTTGGATGCCCACTGTGCATTTGTAAAATGTAATAGCTCATTAAAAGATATATGATTTATTACGTCATTTTTTTTATTGACAGATACCAAGGCCAGTACTTCTTTTCTTCTTTTGTTTGACTCAAGTATTATAATTTTATATATGTTAAAATACCAGTAAATAATAAATGTTCAATTCTGTAATGGCAACCATGTCATTGGAATAATGATGCGACGTGTGTATTAAACAGTGGTCTTATTATAAAATGGATATAAATTGATTTGATATATCTATTACTGGTTCCAGTGCTGGATGAAAACTAATACGCAGTCGCTCTTGGCTATTGCAACATCTACATGTTGGTATCCTATTATAAAGGGGCAATTTAAAGCATTAGTTGAATGTTGAAAAATGGTCCGATATCAAGTTAATAGTTATTGTACGTAAAATTTGAAAAATTGATATCAAATCTTTATTTCCTATCCTATCTACATTAGATGCTGTTGATTGATTTTCATATCAATAAGAAATAGATAGACTATGCTTTGTACAAAGATTGAGCAATGATTAAGCATGAAAAGCATCTGTAAATAAAGATATTATTCGTTATGAATGATTAGCGTCAGTTGAGGAGACGCAACTTTGAGACAACTTGTTGTATAGTAGAACCGAGTATGAGGACGATTTTCAATTTTTTTAGAAATGCGGAACACAGGCAAAAGTACATGATAGTTACCTTATTGATCGAACTAGATACTTTATAGTTTTATTTTTGACAAAAGATGCTCTATAAAAAAACGACTTACTGCCGGCAGGGTCTGCGGATGTTTCACTCCAGTAAAAATTCTACTGGCAGGCTTGCGCAGATGTGCAGGGAACGTTGTGGCAGATCTTGGAAGACCTGAGCAGTGCTCTGTTGCATACCACTGCGGCATTCAGGGACAGGCGTCGGCAGACATTCTTTTTTTATAGGGTGATACAACGTCAGGCAACCGTAAACAGGCAAACTATGTTCGTTTACTTAGAGACACCGCACACAAAAAAGAGACTATAAAGCTTATCAGCGCAGACCTTGATCTATAATGTAACTCCTCCATTCAAACGTGATGGACTAAGCTGGATGAAATCTATGTTTCGAGTGTGTTGATTACTTAAAGCACTGTTTCTGTGCAAATATTCATCTTCTAATTCTTGTTTTCTTAATGTTAATTGTTTCATAAATGGCTTGAGATCCAGCAATTTCTTCCTTCGCAATCTTTCATTCTTTGTTCTTCCTCTTTCAGAAGAATTTAGAGGAGTGACACAAAAAAAAATAAAAACGCGCTTTTCAGTTACATAGAAACAGACGAAGAATAGATAAATACAGATACATAACAGATAAGAAGAAAGAATAGAGAACGAATAGTATTTTACATAATTTTTTAGTAACATTTTGAATATATTTATATTAGTCGTGTGTACTATTGATGAGGGAAGAGCACTCCACTGTTTAGATGTGAAGGGTGTAAAGGCAGATGATGATGGTTTAGTGGAAAATGTTAGGATCTCAAATTTTTTTTCATGATCTACTCGTGAATACTGTCGATTTTTCGTTGGAGAAATTCAATTTAAAGATGAAAGAGTACTCGTACCATTATAAATTTTTTGAAAGTGTGTTAGTTTGAAAAATTGCCTCCTATTATCGAGACTACAGAATTTTAGTTTATTTTGAATTTCAACGTGGTCTGTTGAGTAGTCTCTCATTGTTATCCTCGCTGCAAGGCGTTGCACTTCATTAAGAGTAGATAAATGTGCTGTCGATTACAACATACTCGCATTCTATCATCGGTCTAACACATGTTTTGACAAGATGTAAACGTAAATAAGATGGTACTGTTAAAAAACTCCGTAAAATTGGGTCTAACATTTTTCGACATTTACTAGCTGCTGGTTCAATATGTTTTTTCAATGGTAAATTGTACGATAGACAGAAAATATTTTCTAGAGAAATATTGTTTATTTTTTATTGATGTAAGAATATTCGAGAATATCATGCGTTGACATTAATCAGCATTTAACTTGACCAGCATTCTCTTACATCATTCAGACATTTCATCGATGCATTTTTGTACATTGATCAACTTGCTTGATCAAAATCAGTCACATAGAACACAGCATCAAAAAATAGAGAAGACAGTTTAGTAATTCCAAAAGGGAAGTCGGAAGTCATTGTTAAATACCAAAAATAGAACCAGTCCGAAAATACTGCTTTGGGATACTCCTGATGTGACAGCTGCTTTTTTTTTGAGAAAACTGGCTCTACCGCGCTAAAAGAATCCGATGTGATACTCTGTCGAATGCCTTTTCAAAATCAAATGGCATGTCTATTAGTTTCTTTTTGTCATTTAGACTCTTATGGATGACATTTGTTAAATAAATTAATGCATCTAATGTGAGTGATCGAGGTCTAAAGCCGGATTGTTGAGCACAATGAAAGTTATTTTTGATAAAAACATAATTAAATATGTATGCATTATTCTCTTGAATGCTTTACTTTTTTTTTCATAATGATTCAAAGATAAGAGAGAAGAATGAATAAGGCTACGACAAAAAGTTTCGACTAGAACAGCAGTTCTACAGCAAGTTGTTCTGAATGTTTACGTAGTAAATGACACACTGTATTAGTGAAAATCTAGCCAAAGAATTATCCCTCTTCACGGTCTTCTAGAAATACTTTAGCCTAGCTACTCTTCTACGATCTGACAGACTCTGAAAACTCGTCTTATCTGCCACCCGCGATGCATAAGAGGTGGAGTCATCGGTAGTGATGCGCGAGGCTAATCATTCCACTGCGTTCAACGGCCCCAAATGTATCTTATAGTTACTATCAAAAATAACTGAGCCATATTCCATAACTGATTTTACACATGTCATATATAGATGTTTTTTTAACTGTGATAGTGAATCACGGAATGTTCTGTGGACAATAACGAGCATTTTTCTGCACCGCAGTGTTGTTTTTTCTTTGTTTTACCCAGTAGTTTAACTTCGTGGACCCTCATAAGAGATTCAATCCTAATTTTAACACCGACGGAGAGAGTAATGTGGCAGATCTATCGAAGATGAGTTAATTATACGCGTCCGCATTCAATTCCGGATCGAGCACGTTATGCAAGTCGTTAATAGTAACGGTCCCGTTACCCTCACAGTAACGGCCCTAGATTCGAGCCCTGTTGAACCCCTGAGGTAACAAGAACAAATTCAGAGAATATTGTTTATTTCACTTGCTATGATCTGTGGCCAAGATAGGAACGAAATCATTCAAACAGACTATTGTATATTTCAGCATCTTAGTTAAAAGAATTTGTTGGGGCACATAATCGAATACCTTCGAAAAGTCAAAGGAAATATCCACAGATCTTTTTCTTTTATCCATCACGGATAAAAGGACGAGATCTGTGGATATTTCCTTCGTGATGTGTTATGCAGATTAGTGCATCAACAGTCGATTATTTTACACAAAATCCGAACTGTGTTCTGTTGAAATAACTACTTTCATTGAGGTGAACAACTAGTCTGTCAAAAACTAACCGCTCAAGGACTTTACACATGTTAGAAAGCAAAGAAATTGGTCGGGAGATCTCAATAGATGAGCGATCACTTTTTTCGAAAATAGGTTTCAATATGGAATTTTTTCATAAATCCGAGAACATTCTACTTTTTATTGATTCATTAAAAAGATGCGTCAGTTAAGAAGCTAGAATCTCATTAGCTCTTTCCAGGAACTCAAGTATTAAATCGTTGGTGCCGGTTGACTTCGTAACATTTAAATTAGCGATTAACTTAAAAACCTTCTGTACAAGTATTTCAAAAACTCCCATTTCCGAAATGAATTTTGTTGGAGGTGGCAACTTATATTTGCGAGTAATGATACTGACAATAATTTTCAACATTTGATTTATCGTCTTTTTTGTGGATCGGCTTAATGATAGCATGCTTCCAAATATCTGGAAAGACACTTCTAAGTCGAAATATATGGTGAAGGTGTTCGAATATAATATCTACACTCAGTTCTAGGCATTTAATTGGAATATTATCGAACCCTACAGATTTTTCATTCTTAACATAATACTCTGAACGACCAATTCAATATCAGAAAGAAATTTGAGCGGAGAAGAAATCGGTTTAGTCACAGATTCTTCCAATTTAGAAAAACAAATCGCAACATGATTTGATAAGAGTTCAGTTTTCGAAGCATCATCATTAACCGTATGATCTTTTTTGTAATTAAATACTGTTGGTAAATCACTAAAGATAGAACGAAATTTATTGATGGTTGTCCAAAATCGTTTGCTATTCTTAAAAATTTTCCTGATGCACGAGAACAAATTTACCTTTCCGTATACAATGGATAACTTGATTTCTAAGCTTTTTTTACTATGAAAACAACTCGAAAAAATGTTTACTCTGAGAAACTATCTTTTTTGAATTTTTTAAAGGCTGACATATTTTTTGTCATTAGAAAACAAGTTGTTTTTGACAAGCGAAGTACTGTTTTCACAGGTATTGACTCTTTCATTACATGAGTCAAATTTTCGATCCATATATCTGCCGCTAAATTTGGATCTAAGCAAAGATCGAAAGATGGATCAATTTGGTTGAGTTTTTATGTGAAAGTAGATAAATTCATGTTTTTATATTCACGTACTTGCTGTGCTTTTTGTGTATAATTTACTGTGTATGAACAGTTTAAAACATTATGGACTGACTTACTAAACGGCTAGGGAACGTTATCCTGTGGGACGCTTGAGGCGCAAGGCCTCAAACAAAAGTAAGATGGGACGCTTTTTTTACTGTCGAAATTCATTTTTCAGGTGGTACACTGAGAGATCAAACCTCCGAGATGATACAAAATGTCTCAAATATTCAGGTGGGGGTAGACGCCGCTGTAAACGACCGACAAATATTATGTTTTAGTGTGTTTATATGTGGCGTATAAAACATGTTGTCGATGAGTGCACATTTCGTGCATGTTTGTGTTTTTGAATGTTGTCGATTAAATGAAAGAACAGACGGAGAGAGATCGAATGTGTCAATTATACATTGTAAATATTTCGGTACATTTGGTTTTACTGTTCTAACGACCAAGAATTAGAGAGACTCGTCCTTTTTGATGCGTGATTTAAAAGAAATTCAAGGCGTTCGTCATAGTATCTATTGTGACTGTTTTAGCTTTTTTTTTGTCAAGTGACCTGTATTTCTGGTACAAAAGAAGAATCTACGTACGATCTCTAATTTTTTAGAGAGAGAAGAATAACTTCTAACTCTGTAGAACACGCAATGAGTGAATGATGCATATAATTTCGAATAAAAGTAGCTCTGGCTGGTATATTTACCTCATTATCTAAAACACTTGAAGGTAGAAACGTTTTCTGAAAACAGAGTGCGATCGGTTTGTATTTCGATGTGTATTCTTTGACCGCGTCTAGACATCATGAGAGACTTTGAATATTCTGCGATAGAATTTGGAAATGACTTAATAGAGATGATGGTACGAAGGAAGTGACATGAGGGTTAAGAGTGAACAGAGACTGAGGAAGCTGGCAGATCTGACGACGTCCATCTGTATTTAAATGTTCCTTTTTTTAAATCAAGTTCAATAATATTGAAATGTTTTTGTTCATTTATTTTTTGTTCTTATAATTAAATTAATAAATTATTGAATAATGTTACGCGTTCGAGAATCTCACCTTGAGACGATTTTTTAGTACGAAACAGAATTGTCGATATTGTTAAATTAAAAGAAAGAATGCATCATACACAAAGCGTATCAACAAATTTCGACAGTTCTGTTTGACAAAGGTGATTCATTTAATAAATTATTTGTACCAAAAACAAACATAACTTCTTCAGAATGATCAAGAAGATATGATAATTGGTTCTTCTCAACGAATGAGTGAATACCATGACTGGTACAGTAGCCATATTAAATCGTGTTAATTCGTGTCGGATTTATCTGAAATGTAATTAGTAGATATCCTCTTTTCACTATCTCATGATTTTTTTATTCAGCTTTTTTTTAGGGGAGAAAAATTTATCTCATTAATTCTCTACAGTTTCTTTTTTTCGTTCGTGCACGTGTATTTTTTGTTCAAACTAAAAATTTTCAAGTTAATTAATGGATCTCTGTAGCATGATTTTGCAAAATACTGTGCATTTAAGAATGCATATTGTTGTAGGATTTTATTATACCATTTACCCTTTGGATTTGGACTATTACGTTATTTGTACTTTATTTGTACCTAAGTGACTCATTGAGATAATGCGGTTAGATAAAATATGGTTAGTAAGAGTATTGTATTTATTGCTCATATACTTTTATTTAAAGCATTATTTATATAAAAGAGAGCATAATCATCTTTTTTGTACTTGTTAAATTTGTTTTACGTTCTTCAGATAAATATGAATGGTATGCCGATAAAAAAGGAAAAATCATTAACGACATTTATTGATCGTCCCTTATTAGATGGTTTAATTGATGTTTATCATTCAAGTCCATTTAAATCCATTTTAAGTTTTATACTTATTTCATTAATATCTGCTATTATTCCACTATCATTTCTATGGGTAGTACTCGTCATTTTACAATCAATATGTCATCTATTCACTATTCCTGTTGGATTATTTTTTCAGTTTATTTTAACACTATGGGCAATAACTGAAATTATATTTTTATTCTATCAATATTATCTATCGATTTTAATTCAGCGACCGGCTCGAATGCCAACATTTTCACAAGCTGAACGTGATTCATTAAGTAAGTTAAAATCGACAATAGTCATTTATTGTTGAATTTATTTGGATTTAAACTTAATTTTCTTGTGCAAAGTAAAGAAAAATGATCATTTAGAAATCCAAATTAGTTTATTAACCGATAAATTTCTAATAAGTTAATGCCGTATCTATCGTTGTAAATCCTGACTTTAGTTAGGGATTTTCGATCAGAGTACGCGATCTATACTAGTACTTACTTATCTGTCTCTGTTCTTGATATGTATAATGTTCATTTTTATTTTTAGTATCATCAACTTTAGTCAATATGAAAGATGTGCGTGGTTTTCTATCCAAATGGTTTATGTCATCTGCATTTGAACAAATCAGTCATACCCATATACAATCATGTAAGAGCAATCTTTATTTTCATACAAACTTGCTAAACTCTTTAGCTATTACGCCGAAGAAATAGAAATAAATGAAGTTTATAGTGATGAAAGATGCTATTTAGTAGCCTGCGGAAGCACAATAATGTATATTTTATATCTCAGTGAATGGAGATATTTGAAATCTGAAATGGCGATTGTGTATGCGATGGTATAGCCAGAAGTTTTCCAAGAGTGGAATGCGAAAGCAGAAAAAAATTTATTCATCTGAATTCTCCCGTCAGGCATTTTAAGAGCTACAGATTTTCTGCACACACTCTTTCCCTTGGCTACGTTATTGTGCGTGGATATGATGAATCTCTTTTTTTTTCAGTATACTAGAGATTAATTTAAGAGCTCAAATTAACAGGTATCTGTCTGCACGAAACCTTTTTGGGGATGTGAAAAACTTTCATCATCTCCAAGGAGTTTTACATTTTCAGATTCAATTAGCGGTTGATCTGACAAGGTTTTTTATCACCTTTGAAATTTTTTTTATGATTACTAAAAGACAAAATACTTAAATTTTCTACCGATCGTATAAAAAAATGACTTATTTCTCTTATAAAAGAATCGGATCTTCACTATATCTATGATTCACGTGCTTACATTTTTATTTTATCCAAAGTGATAACGTGAGCAAAAGTGATGAACCCAGAAAAATTCTTGTCGAGAAATTAATGCTGTCGGAATACTTCATGGAGATTGAGACGTTTGGTTGTCAGAGCTTTTTAAGTTTAGGATTGCCTTTGTGATAGTCTATTATGCGGTTTAAATAACATTCTTAGTGAACTATCGAATGTTTGGATAGTGTAATACAAGTCCCATTAATAATTTCTATAATATATTCATATTGCAGGGATGGCCTATGCTTTCTATGGTAAAGATGAAAAAACATTAAATGACGATGAATTAAATACCGTTGATACGTTACTAAAACGATTGAAAAAAGACTATGAAATTGAAGTTGTTCAAGAAAATCGCGAACAGCTAAAATGTATGAAACATATTTTGGATCCTGTTTGTATTATATTTCGTCCATTTGTTTATTATGTTGCTACGGATACTATATGTAATAGTCTACTGGCAACATCTGCATTTTATTTAATGAATTATAAATATTATACAGTTGGAAGTTTATCATTTTGGATGTATACAGATCCCAATGAAGACAAACGAAAACCACCAATCATCTTTTTTCATGGTATTGGTGCGGGTTTGCTTATGTATATACCATTTTTTCGTCGTATACATCGTGAGCATCATCAAGGAAGACGTATTATACTTATCTCATTACGTTGTATCTGTATGAGATATCCAACATTGTCAGATATTCCAGATATGAATGAGACGATTGCATCGGTACATGAAATATTTCAATATTTTCAATTCAAAAAAGCAATATTCATTGGACACAGGTAAACGACAAAGTGAAAAAATAAATCTTTTGTACGCTATGCCATTTAAAAATGCTTCAGATTTTCTCATTTTTCACATTTGCGTGTGTGAAGAGTGGATATATTGTAAATATTTCCGTTTTCCTCCATGTTTTTGGAAGAAGAGCCTAGAAAAAGATTGTCAGTGACGGATAAGGAATTTGAAACTCACTGAAGATATTAATTGAAAAAGTATTCTTTTGCTGGAACATAGGAACACAAATTACTGTCGAATACATGCACAAGTGTCATTTGTTTTTTATTTTTTTAGTTATGGTACAGCATGTTTATCTTGGATCACGAAAAATTGTCCAGAGTACGTATCAAAATTAATATTTATCGATCCAATTTGTTTTGAATTATTTGAGCCGTATGTGATATTTAATTTTGTCTATCGAAAACCATATCGTCTTGGTCATCTTTATATGTACTATTTTGTTTGTCGCGAATTAGGTATTTCCCATGTAATTAGTCGACATTTTTGGTGGTTTCAAAATATTTTATTTGCTGAACAACTACCTACTAATATTCAAACGAAAGTTTTCTTATCTGGGCGAGATTGTATTGTAAATGTACATTTAGTAAAAGATTATCTCAATGAAAATCGGATTGATTTTCACTGGGCACCAAAGCTATCACATGGTGGTTATATGCAAGATAAACATAGCTGGGATAAAATAGCTGAATGGATTTAAACCTCCATGGTCTTTTTTTGCCATATTGATAACTAGTCTTCTCTCAAGCTTTTAGTGCTTTCGTTCATTTATCGTTATTACATATGTATTATAAAAGAATCGTCACAGCTTTTCATCACAAAGTATTCTTAAGATTCTAGTTTGTTTAACAGTTTTGCTTATTAAATTGTATTTTGTTTATCATTTTTCGCTTATTTGGCACAGTACCACTACTTCTATTATTGGCTTGGCCATGTAACTCTGCTGCCGCAGTGTAATTCTGTCACGATTTTTTGATATTTTGTTTCTCTTATAGCTTTCAGACCAAAATACTTCCAGAGCTCTGAAACATTTTAAATAGAAGAGTAAGTGTGCTCAGTATTTGAGATGTTCTTGCACTCTATACGTTCTTTTATATAGACAATATTGCCTAGCCTTTTACGCCCGGCAGCTGATCTTGCAAAACGAATTTGAAACTATCATAACTCTGTTTACACTCGAAGGAAAACAAATTTCTTATTACCAATGACTAGCTTATGATGTCAGCTTACCCTAGAAAAAAATCAGTTTTTTGATTCGACGCATCGTCATCTCGTTATAGCGATTCTACAATATCCTACTAATGTCCATGCCTTTAGACACCCGAGAGTAAAGGGCTAGAGTAGTAGTATTCTAGTAATATTTCCTAAATAAAAGAACGATTGCGAGAACATCTCAAATATTGATCATACTTTTCTCTTCTACTTAAGATATTTCAGAGCTCGGGATGTATTTTAGTTCGAAAACTGTAAGAGAAACAAAATACAGGAAAACCGTGACGAAATCACACTGTGGTAGCAGAATTACATGGTCAAATCGAGCATTGTTTTTTCTTCGTTATCAGTGTTATTGATAACAGTATTTATTTCTCAATAAACGATCTGTGATACAATACAATGTATTTTCTATATAGTCGGCACATGATAACTTTTTCTACGCTTCTTTTTCGTCGTAGTGTACATAAGTCAAAAAATGTGTATTTTTAATGTTGTCGCTTAGCGGATTGTTTTTGTTACAATGTTATAGTCCTTTTGAAAATAAAAGAATATTCTTGAGCCATGCATCATCTCATTGCCAATGGGTATAGCACTGATTTTCATAAATTGACTTTACGTGTTTTCTTAATAGACAACTAAACCATGAACTACTTCTTACAGAATGATGAGGCGTGAATGGAGCGATAAAAGTAAGTGATGTTAGATACAACTAAACATAACAGAATTAGACTTTTTTCTGAATCAATATCGAGTATCCTACTCCATATCCTATGAAAGAACACATTTAAGCTAGCAATATATAATCCGTGAACAATGAAGTTTCAATATTCGTAATTAAAGTAAAATATTCGCAGTGACTGTGTATTATGATCAAATCTGAATATTTTACTCATCTGATTGAATGAGAGAGATCAAAGGCATTAAAGTAGTTTCGTGTCCGCATGGATGAGGTGGTCTAAGCGTCTTCACCATGGATTTTGGTATTTATGGGAGGATAAGATTTTTGGAAAAGAGTAAATTATTTTACGCCCGCATCCTTTTTTCAACCTGTTTCCAGTTCGTGTAAGAAGACCTTAGAGTGCTTTACCATATTTCAATAAAGTATTATAAGTAATATGTCTTGTAGAACTACCTAGCCTTACTACGTTTGTACATGGTAAGTGACATCTATCGCTACAGTTCTGAAGTAGCCACAGTGAAAAGCTGATTAAGTGAAAGTTATTTTTCAAGAAATAAATAATCTTTTAGTGAGTTAGGTACAGAGATTACAAACTTAAAAGGAATAAGTTATAGTAAATTATATTGTAAATCTCATTGGACCTGAACTTTCGCTTATGAGAGCTCATTTCTCCTGCAAGTATGAATGAGTGGTTTTCTAACAGCATTTGGAGAAGTTTTGCTGCTGTAGAAACATGCTGAAGTACAACCCACATAGTATAATATTTGTGGTAAAATCCTTTTTGTATGATGCCAGCGTCATAGCTGTTAATTCATATAGTTTGAGCTACCCTTGTTTGTGTCCTCTCCTTGTTGAAAATGTGATCTGAGTAAGAGTCTCAAACTTTTAAAGTTCAACCTGGTGGAAGACAAATTATTCTATTAAATTTTTTAGAGAAGTACATCGTGTATCTGCTCTTTTATCAACTCATACGTGTTTACAACACTGAGATGTCTTTAACTTGTTCCTAAACTTGATGCATGAGATGTACAGAAGCAGAAAGAGACAGTGAGATACGATCATTGAGCGCTGATCCAGTCATACTGTTAACAGACCATCCCATGAGAAAATCGGCCTTTATGATCCCATGTAAAAGATCCAATAAGTCTTATGCATACAGTTTGGATAACAAAACATGATCTAATCGGCACTGGCACAAAGTGCTTCGTTTCTTGAATTCTTCGTCGAAGTATGAATCATCATCTGCTACTTTTGGCACAGCATTTTAAGATGCAAAAATTGAAGACAAACCATTTGAATGCATGAGAAAAACAATGCTAATTTCGACAACCGGGACGAATGCACTTAATTTAACGAGCAGCGGGATAGAAAGAGTCAGTGGATGGAAAAACCATGTAAACGTTGCATGTATTCAAGCACGTAATGCATTTTTACCAAGTTAGGTTTCTCCTTTCTCAAGCTTATTTTGAATAGATATTAATTAAATGTGTCTTTTGCGATATATTTAAACTCATAAGAGTCTGCCTCAACAAAACAACTGAGCCCACAGCAATGGTAAATCGTGGCAGTATAATATGCATAAATGCCGTTACGATCTAGATTGTATTATCCATAGGATGGTTTCCTTATGCATAAAAAAAAGTCCTATGGATCAGTATGCATAGCAAAACTCCTATGCATAACCACAAGAATAAGGTCTTGTGAATTATAGATAATTTTCAACTGTGCATGGTTATTTTTGAAAAATTATGCAAAACTATGTTCATAGGTGCTGTTTGATTTTTTACATGGAATTTTACATGATCTGATATTTTCTTATTAGATCTTGTCATGAGATCTTGGAAAATCAATGAATTTTGTGACTTTTTATTACATACGAAGTAATAGAATCTTTATGTGATGTTATGTAAAAAATTCGTTTGATCTTTGAAAAATTGACATTTCTAATTTTAAAGAATGAGTTTTTTTGTGATCGTAAAGTGAGAGCTAACGGTTTATAACACCTTGTTTTTTCGATTTTTTGCAAAGCCGCAGTACATCGAGACCTTTATGAAGTGTTATGAGTCGCTATAGGTAGTATCTACGCATACCATATAATTTTATAACTACCTCAAATATCAATCGTTAATTCGACAACAAGACATAATCTTTTCAGTAAATCAAAGTTAAGCATGTCGTGCAGAAGTTGACTTAGTTTTGGAAATAAAACTTCAAAGAAGTTAGAATTTAAACATTTCAAATAAGGATGATGGTTCCAAACATAGCACATTTTCAGTGAGTTTTGCTCAATAGGTTTCAGAGAGAACTTTACGACTGTTTGTTAAGACGTAGCATCCTTAAAAAAACTTAAATCGAGTTTTAGAATTTCAAGTGTTAGTAAACTAAAAAGGCAAATACTCGTATTAAAAAGATTATCGCTTGGGAGAAAGGTCACTGAGAGCTCGCGAACGTCTAGCCAGAGAACTTCCTTTTCTTTAATACTAATGACCGAACAGACTTTCTCAAGGAGCATGGACTTTTTTTTTGACACTAGAATTGAACGAAAACCAAAATCAGATTGTTTATTATGATGAAAATAAAAAGCTATTACAAATATGGGTATAAATTTCTGTTTATTTTAATGGGTAACTCAGGAATTATGGAATTTTTCTTTGTTTCTCACTTTTTAAGTATCTTGATATACTTATAAAATTTTGATCTAAGCTGAGAAAACAGAGCAGTCATCCTTATTTGAAATGTTTAAATTCTAACTTCTTTGAAGTTTTATTTCCAAAACTAAGTCAACTTCTGCACGATATGCTTAACTTTGATTTACTGAAAAGATTATGTTCTTGTTGTCGAATTAACGATTGATATTTGAAGTAATTGTAAAATTATATGGTATGTGTAGATACTACCTATAGCGACTCATAACACTTCATAAAGGTCTTGATGTACTGCGGCTTTGCAAAAAATCAAAAAACAAAGTATTAGCTCTCACTTTATGATTAGAGTATAAATAAGTATATATTATTCACTATGAAAATTTAGTAAAGAAAGAACGAGAAGTAATACTCAATAATTTATATACTATTATTTAGTCTTTCTTTCTTACCTTTCCGCCTATGACTAACAAATTGAGAGTACACGTTTCCTATTCATATCGATATGTAGTAGAGTAACCGGCAATAACAACGACCAGTAAACAGTATAGGGTAGACGTGCATCTTCATATACTGAATATTTCGCTCATGCAATTTGACATACCCTCTTTTGTTACGTTTTTGCTCCATTTTCACTTGGTTATTACAGAATGACATACTCTATCGCAAATGGAAGACATTAGCGTGTAATTGAGACAAAAAAATTGACCTTTTTACATTCAGAAGATGATGCAGTATTTCACATTTTTTAACATCATGTTTATGTCTTTTTTGGATGAAAACTTCATCATAAAATTCATTTTGTAGGAAAATACCTGGAATATTCTGTTATTTTTTTTAGATGTTCTGATTTACATGCTAATCGAATTAATATGAGTGAGAAATTATAAAATGAAAATTTGTGAACAAAAAAGAAACTCTCGAATAAAAAAAAGAAAAAGATTTCGTGAATATCAGAGATTGTTTGAATAATCCTAAAAAGTTGGATAGTCAAGTTCATCAAAGTTAAAAATTATCTCCTAACTATATGTCTCTATTATAAGATTTTATTAAAGATCTTTCTACGTTATTCAAGGAGGAACGATAAACGATTAATGACGATATTTAGTTTTAGATGGAAATGAGTATAACTAATATCAACGTTATTCATAGGCAAAATTCAGG